AATGAAGGTTCGCAGAAGCAGCAGCGCCACTCGACCGCTCATGGCCGAAGGGCAACAGTCATGCGGCGCACCTGCATGCGCCCATGCGGTCCATCGATTTCTGAATGAATTCTTCCTCCCAACTTCCTCCCGGGGGTACCACTCGATCCGCGCTTTGACTCTACTTCTGGTCCAGACGTTTGTCCATCTCCTTCCCAGCAGCGTGAAGTCCATATGTCCGAGTCATGAGGACAACTTCATGCGCACACTCGAGGCAGCAGGAGCCTGGACCTTACAATCAAACGCCCCGCCCTTGTCCAAGCACCACGCATCTCCGCGCTATTGAATCTCCGCGCTATTGAATCTCCGCGTGAAGGAGAGGTGCTTCATGGCCGTGCACCCGAGTGGCCCTATAACCTTAAACGCTCTTCTACACTACAACAGTCGTGAGTACACGCAGCAGCAACGGCGCTCAGATTGAGACGCCTATAGCTGTGCGATCTGTTGAAATCTGCACTTCTGCCCCCAGATCGGAGAGTCTGCAGTTTGCTCAGCAGCACCCTCTATTCCCCGACGTTGTTTGGGCATCGTTGTGCGTTGCTGCAGGCACGACGTGCTACTTCCACTTTACGCACTCGCTGCACGCTGCATCGCATACAGGCCAGAGGCCGGCATACATTCCCAATTTGCCCCTCCATATTGCGTAAGGTGACCGTGGACCGCAGAGCACAAGAATCGAGGCGCACATCGCACCATTCGCTATACAGAAATCTCTCTCTCCCTTACACCATCACAATCACCGCTCTCGACCTCGTCGCATGTCCCCCCTTTACGCTTCAGTCGACTCACCTACTGCAAACACGGGCGTGCATTCGACACCACGCACAGCACAGCCTCCTGACTCACAACAGATTTCGCCTCACGATCGTCGAACGTTTGCATCTTGGACGTGCTCTCGCTAGCGGCTCTGCTCCGGTGGAGGCGAGAGAAGTGTTGTCTCGTCTCAGATGAATGCGCCTCAGTCGTGAGTGTAGGGCTGTGAGCGATGACTGAGCTGTTGAGGATGGGGCAATCTGTTCTCCCTGCGTGGACGCAATGTATGCGACTGCCGTGACCCACGATGAGGGGACTCATCTTCTGATCTCTTTGGCGCCGCAGCAATCCCATTACGATTTCAGAAGCTGCTCCTATACCTCCGCCGCGTTCAGCTTCCAAGCCGCGCGGATCAAGCGTAGCTGACAGGAAGATGAACGAGAGCGCGAGGGCAAGTAAGCTCTCAAAATTCTTTGGAGAGGCTCCACCGCCTTCTCTGGCTCGTGGCGGCTCGAGCGCATCGCGATCGGCAACGGCTCCACGATCAGCCAGACCGCTCACAGGGGCGAGTCCCACCGACAATGCTGCGGCACCGCAGCTCGATCTACTATTGCCAGGATCGCAACTTATTCGGTCTGGAAGCGCGACAAATGTCCTGCTCGAAGGTCAAGGTACATCGCACGGCGATGCAACTGTAAGCCCGGGTGACCTGGGCTCCACCCATGCGCACCATGGTCCTGGCCTCTTTGCCGGCTTCGACGCGACGCCTTATGGCGCGCGGAGCCCCATTGCACCACCGGACGAGCGTCAGCAGCCCCAACTCAGGAATTACCCGGAGGCTGGCCTTTCCGACCGCGCCTCTCTGGACATCTTTCAAGAGCGCAGGCGCGGAAGTACAAGCAGTATGGGTGCCGCTTCGTACACCACTGGCTTTCCCGCCCCTCCCATGGGTGCGACGAACGGCCACTGGGCGGCGTCTCCTCCCCGACAGTCCACGAGCACATCTCACCAAGGACCCGGCGGCTCATTGACCGCCTTCTTTGACCACCTTGGAGGCGAGATCGAGACGGTTGGTGCCTCCGTCAACAACAATGCGCGACGACCTTCGCTACCGAACACTGGCACGCCGGGCTCCATCGCGTCCAGCCGCCAAGCAACACCACAGTCCGCGCTTTCGCCCTCCAAATCGATCACTTTCCAGTCTCCGAAAGCTGCCAGACCTGGATCGATGGCCGGCTCGGATCATCATTCGGCGTACAAATTTGGCGACCTTGGCAGAAGCAGCATGGGATCCAGGAGGCCATCAGTCGACGCGCAGATCATGTCCGCGACTTTCTCATCGGCTTCCTTCGACCCTGAGCGGACAATTGGTACGACGCCTTATGAGCATTCCTCCCTGGGTGCAAGCTCGAGCCGCGGAGAGCGAGCGCCGTGCGATCCGACGTGCGCCCCATTCCCTTGTGAATACCGAGCTCTGAGGCGCTCCATCTTGATGGACGAGCCGGTCGCCAAGTACAGCTTGCCCAGGGGTATGACGCTCGCGCGCAAGCGTGGCTGGCGAAGCAGGCAGCTGGTTCTCACCTCCAACGGACACCGTGTGGACCAGCGCGTCACTGTGGTTCCCTCTGCTTGGGGTGCGGACGGGTCGTCGACTTCGATGACAACGATCACGCCGTGCTTCGACTTCGATGTGCCATACGCTGAGGACCTCTCTTCGGCGCCTTTTGCATGCTTGCACGTGTTCAAGCCCGATGGAATGAAGGAACAGCAGCGCTTCGTGCTGGCTCCCACAAGCTACGTGGCAGTGGCTGACAGTGCCAGGCGGTACGGCGGAGGCCGCCACTTGCTTAGAATAGGCGGCGGCTCTGCCGTTTACCCCCAGGAGATCGAGACTGCTCGGGGATCAGTGCAGGGCGAAGAGTGGCTCGTGCAACTAGACTCGATCGAGCAGCTGCTCAAGTGGCAACACACCATCAGGGTGCGTACCCCTCTGTGTGAACCGATCTAGCGCACCTGCCTCTCTGATTTTACTCTTCTTGCACTTACCCGCAGGCACTCATCGCAGCTCTTGCACACGCTGAGGGCGAGTTCAGGACAGGTCGACGTTACCCAAGAAGAGGGTCTGCAGCGGACAATGGCCTATCCTTGCGCTCTCCTGCGCCTGCTTCGCCAGTCTGGCCAGCCCCTGCGCGCAGCGCAGACGCCGGTGCACACGAGCAAGCGAGGAAGAGCGGCCTGGGCATAGCGTGGTCGCCGCTTGAAAGCGACGCTGCGGGACGACGCGAGCACGCTATTGCTCCTTCTAGGTCATCCTTCTTTGCTGTCTCTGAAGCGCGACCAAGCGGAGAACGCTCTGTAACAGAGCGGCCTTCTGTGGGGACTCGCACAAGCGCAGCAGACCCAGAATCTCCCATCGATCACGCATTTCCCGCCGTACACAAAAGGCAACAGCCACATTCTGTACTCCCTTCAAGAGAACCGCGAGAGGTTGTCAGACCCGTCAGCTCGACGGACCCCTTGCTTGACGAGATGGAGACTCTCACCCAGGAGCTTTCAGTAGCAGAGAGCAAGCGCGAGCGTGCTCCTTTGAGCGAGGGCCGAGAAGGCGACGGTCATTTCTCGGTGCATGGCACAAACATTGCGACGCTGCGGAGCTGGGCTATGGTCAGCAGTGATTCCATCAACACGGAGCCGCTCGTCCACGGGCATCACTCGAATCCTCTATCGGGCACCCACGATCAGCACGACGACGATCGCGCTTCGGTTACATCGGAGCCGATGGAATGGACCAGCCAGAGCTATGGACGCAAAGCGAGGTCGCGCACGACTTCAGTTTCCAGCACCAACTCGTCTCCAATCTGCTTCTCTTACGCCCGAAGCGATCTTCCTCCCCGTACGCCTGCCCCTCAGACCGCGCTTCCGCCGCCCCCCTCAGCGCAGACAAAGCATGCGCCCAGCATTCAAATCGCCGTTCCTCCATCTGCACGCAAAGCCGAAGGACATTCGCCTACGCTGTCGGGCCCTGCTGCACTGCGCCATCGACAGGCATCGCATGAGAGCACTGGGGCGAGCTCCCACACTTCCTCTGTTCGAAGTGATTCAGGCTCCAACATGGCCGCACGTACCTGGAAGAGCCGCCCAGGCAGCATGATGGACTCCTCCTGGAACAAGCTCAGTGATGGGTATAGCCCAACTGCCGCTTGGAACTTCAGCAACTCACCCAGCAGCTCTGTTGGCACTGTCTCCTCACCATTGACACCCTTGTCGCCTACAGCGCCAAGCGACGCGCGAGACAGACACGCAGGGGTTTCGATTCGCCACTCGCTTGATGTTACTCCACACGCGTCGAGCAGCTTGGAGCGCAAGCAAGCGCTGCTCGCAGCTCTGGCACTAGAGCAGCGAGCTCAGAGCTCTTCCACGCCTGTCGGAAATCGGGCTATAACGCCAAACGAGCAGGTGGAAGAGATTACGCCCGTAAGGGGAGAAAGGCGCGACCCAGATACGCGAAACAATGCGAATCAAGCGACGAACGGCAGTAGATTGTCACCGCGCTTGCGCAGCCATATAGACCCGCCTACGCCCTCAACGCCAGACGACAACTGGAAGTCCAGTCTCCCGCGCAAGCACACGCAACGAGGCAGCTTCTTCAACCTGTATGAGTCAGAGGATGAGCAAGAAGACGGCGGCAACATGTCGAGTGATGTGGAACATAGCCAACGCAGTGGACTAGCTTCATCTGACGAGGGCGTGCAGGCCGGCAGGGCAAGCCCAGCCAAGCCACTCGTTTTAGCGCCTCCTCCCCGTCGCAGATCGAAGTCGACACAAGGCTCAACTCCGGCTCAGAGCCATCGCCATTCCCAATCCGATGGCAACCCATACGCAAGCGTTGCTAGCCGAATTGATGCTGATGGCGCTGCACCATCGCGATCTGAAAGCCATCATAGTCTCTGCGGCGGATCAGGCGAAGCCAAGGCCAGGCAAAGTGGCGTTTCCGGGAGCGCGCAGGGCGCTGCGGGTGGGGTACTGCCTTACTCGCCTCCAACGCCTTTGAGCAACTCGCCCATTTCCAATCGACAATCGGCTCATGTATTTCAAAATCAGCAAGCTACCTGGGCGGCGTCGAACGCAGCCTCGCAACATTCTGCGTCGGCCAGCGGGCTCAGTCGAGGACCGTCGACGCACCGCTCTTCGCGCGAGAGCCTCATGTTGGCGGCTGCTGCAGCCGCAGGACAGAGCCCGATCGACGCTAAAGGGGGCAAGTCTCCGCATCCTTCCGTGCACGCATCGCGTGTCCTGTCCAGTGCAGATCTGCTTTCAGAATTCCCTTCCCCGCCGCCCTCTATGCCGACACCACCATCTAGGTCTCCGGTGCGCCGAGGAGGCGCATCCTCAGCCCCGAGCACGTGGAGACTGCCACCTGCAGCTTTGCCAGAGGTCTCTCCTGCTGCATCGGCTCAACACTCCTTCATGAATGTCCAGACCACTCCTTCTTCTCGATCCAGACCCACTTCGCCCAAACGGCAACGGCAACCGGCCACACCCACTCATAGTCCGCAGCACGAACGCGCAACCATCGGATTGGCCATGTAGACGCTGCGATCCGCTATCTGGCCAACATCCATCGCCTCTGAAGACTTGCTTTGCTTCTTTTTGCCCCCCTCTCCCTCGACTCCTGCGCCTTTACGCTAATCACACCGATGCGCAACGCATCCTCTGTACATGTACGTCCAATACCCCCTTGCGTTTTGCCAAACGCTGCTTTTGCAAATTTGCACCATGCTCGTCAAGTACATTCACGCGCATGTCATAAATTCTCGGCCACTCCAAAGCGACATGCACGGCATACGCGTGATGTATTGCAAAGTCTGATGAGAGACACTGAAGCGCCTTGCAATCGGTAGTCTCAATAGTGAGGATGCTCTGGAGTGAGAAGCATTGGTTGAAAAGTTGATAACGAGTGTTGGGCCCATCTGGGCGGGCGGATAGCAGCTATATGATACAAAATGTTGTGGAACGTTGAAGCTAGAATGAGTGAATGCTAGTCTAGTGATACAGATAAATGCTAGAATCTGGGAGGAGATGTTGAATGTCGAATGAGCACAAGCGAGTCTACGAAAAGAGTAATGGCACGTTCTAGGCTACGAGACCGAAGAGGTTCTTGCTGCGCTTGTGCGTCAGCTTTGGAGGCATGTTGCCGATTGGACTGAGGGACCTAAGCTCAGCTTTAGGAGCAGGCGGAGGAGAACGAAGGCTGCTCAGACGAGAGCGCAAAGCATTGTCGAGTCTTTTGATGAGCTTATCCGCCTGCGCATCTTCCTTGCACGTATGCTGAAGACCGAGCCCAGAAGCGCTCTTGGTCTTGATGGATTGAAAAGAGTCTTTGCGCATCATGGAGTTGAATGCGTTCGTCACGCTGTTGGCTGCTTGAGCCGTCTTGCTGATTCCCTGCGTAGGGAGCAAGGGAGATTCGGGCTCAAACACGGATTGGAACGGTGGAGAGAGGAAGCGCAAAGGCTGGGAAGGCAGAGGAGCTTCCAGCATGCGAGAAGAGCCACGGCGAGGTGTAAGAGGTCCGTCGCGACGCGTCGCATCGGAGAGCACCGACGACTGTAGAGGTGCGCAATGGCTGGTGCGCGGATCAGAGAAAGCTTCACACTCTGGAAGCTTGGCCGAGCCGATGGCGACGGAGCCAAGATCAAGTCCAAGGCTGTTGACGTTGCCGCCGTATGCGTGCTCGAAAGCCGACGGTGTCCCACGTCCGTGACGGTCAAACCCTAGTGGATTGTCGTGGCCCCACGTCTGACGGTCGTCCACCTCGTACATGCCTCTTGGCCCTTCTGACTCCTCTTCAAGGTCGGACCAAAATTCGAAAGCGTCGGCAACATGACGATTGAGCTCGCGATCGAGTGCGGCAATGTCGTCGCGAAGCTTGACATTGGGACTAAGAGGTTCATCGGGGTTCGCGCAGAAGAGCGTCGGACGCTCAATGGTGTTGACAGAGGTTGATCTGCTTCTAGTGCCGCTAGACTGTGCATCCGCATCCTCCGAGGTCAGCGCAGAGTTGAAACTCGTGTCCGTAGATGCCGTCATGGAGCTGAGGTCGCTCGCATCGCTGTTAGAATGACCGTGACACGCTCGGTTGAGGCGAGCAATGTTGGACATGGCCAATTCAAGGCTCTCTGTAGGTCTGTACTGACGCTGCGGGAGCTCTTCAGTGGTGTGTGCGTCCTTCAGTGCGTGCCTAGCCCTGGCAAGAGCGGGCGCACCGAGAGCGCGGAGGCGCGCTTGCTCGCGTTCTGGCGACGAGTGAACCGGGCTGTAGACGGAGTCCCGGACATAGCCGAGAGTGGAGACGAATTGTTGTTGTTCAACTTCTTCTGCGTGGTAGGCTGAGGTGGGGCACTGTCGAGACGAGGAGCAATCGCTACGATCGTCGGAGGTGTCTGAGCTGAATGAGCTGGAGCGCGTGCGAACGGAGGGGCTGTACTCTGCTACCGGTCGAAGAGCTTGAACACGGCGGTAATGACTAGCAGCTTGAAGATCAAACGGCAAGCTCGGCAGAGACTTGGCCGGGAGAGGCTGGCTAAGACGAAGCTTGGTATCTTCACCGATGACGTCGACGTCGAATTGGAGCTCTGGATACATCTTGCTGAGCGCAGCACTTGCGCGCGCCACGATGCGAGCTTTGCTGGCTCTCACATTGCTGTTGTCTGATGCGGCAACGGCACCCTGTTGAAGCTTGCGGTGTTCGAGACCTTCGTGTTCGGAGTAGTGAGCGCCGAGGTCGGGCAGGTCCATGGGCAAATTGCAGGGGGTCACGGGCCCCTGGCTCGTGTTGGAGCTTGTGCTGCTTGTGCTGAGACTAGGTACCATGTCGATGGAAGTTGCGTTCGTGCCCGAAAACTTGCTGCTGGCCATCAGGGCGGAGAGAGCATCGGCGCGAGCACACGCTCTTGAACAGTAGATTGGACCTTCCTCATCTTCATCCTCAGAGGCAGTCGACGCAATGGAACGAGATGACGAAGCGGGTGTCGTGGAGATAGGGTTGCCGCAAAAGCACCATGTGTGAGGCAGCTCAACGCCGGGGAGCACCGGCAAGCCCTTCTGGGGTGTGGAGAAGGGAGAGAGGAGGCCGGAGGGCAACTCGCATTGTCGCAACGAGTCAGTCATTGCTAGCAACGGCGGAGGGGCGGGGGATGGGTGGCGTAAAAGTGATGAGGATGGTAGCGGCAAGAGAAGGGTGCGATATTGTGGGGATGGAATGATGATAGTTTGAAGAGAGGCCGGTGGTGGGTTTATATATTGGTTTGAGGCCAATCGCTCCCGGCTCTTCTGCCCGGGGGTCCAGAGCGGTTACGGATTGCTTTCTCGCGAGGGCAGACCCACGGCTGCAGACGCTTTCTCGATCGTGGTTGCTAAGGTCAGGAGAACTTGAGTGCCAAACTTTGCGAGCGATGGCTACAGGGTGAGAAGAGCAAGGTGTTGATGTGTTGCTTTGCCCCTACATGCCATCATGCAGAGCAGCCCAACGGTCGAACAGCCGTTACGCTAGGAGCAGCACAGGCAAGGCACAGCGTCAACGGTCAAACGGCACAACTGCCTTTGCGCCTGTGCTCTCCTGGGCGCTCTGTTCGAATTTCGTGAATGTCCTTCCCAGCAGCAGCTAGTTGCCAGGCCCTATGGCGAGCAGAATTCGCATCACGCCGACTGATCTTGGTCACGCCGAACACAAGATCGGTTTTGCAGCTGATCGGTGCGCTCTGCATGGCGTTCAAGATCGTAAGGGCGCCGATGATGTCTTTGTGCTTGGGTAGACCGATGCTTGGTGCACGTCAACAGCAAGGGCGGGCGACTTACAGTAGGCCTACGGAGTGGTGCAAAGTGCATAGCGTTTGTGCGTCTCTTTGTCAAAGCGTGGGCAAACAAGCACAGCAGAGAGGCAGCAGCAGCTGCAGCTATGGGGTGCGTGCTGGTGCGTCTCGCGTGAGACCAACACGAAGCTTTTGGTGGGTCTGTCGTG